AATTATGTATAACATTTCCATATTAGTCATACCAAAACTACTTTCACAAAGCCTACCCACACCACCCCAGTCCACAGTGATTGGCCCTTCTCTGAAATGACACTGTCAAATCAACAAGCATTTATTAGACACCTACTTTGTACAGAGCACTGTGTTCTAGACACTGAGGGAGTTTATACAAGGCATAATCCCTACCCTCAAGGCACAGTGTAATATGCAGTATTACATGATAAATATATGAGTTACAAAACAAAGCGAGCAGCTAGGTGTGACAGTAGATACAGCTGGACCTGGAGTCAGGAAGACTCATCTTCCCAAGTTCAGATCCTGCCACAGACACTTAGTAGCTATACAACCCTGGGCAAGTCACTTAACCCTGTTTGCTTCAGTACCTCATCTGTAAAATGAGCTGGAGAAGGAAATGGCAAACCATTCCACTATCTTTGCCAAGAAAACCCCAAAATGGAGTCATGAAGAGTCAGACACAACTGAAACAACTCAACAACAACAGAGTTTGGGGAAAAGAGTATTAAAAGGAGTAATAAAAATAATAAAACTGGGTGGCTTAAGCTCCAGGAAGGCCTTGAATACTAAGCAAAGGATCTGAACTATCCTTGAGCACCACCCAACTGACACTTAGTACATGAAACCCGGTATCTGGGGAATAACAGATTTAGGAACCTAGGAGACCATCTGGTCCAACCTCTTCATTTTACAGGTGAGGAAAGTGAGGCCCAGAGAGGCTATACCACTTGCCAAAGGTCACACAGGAAGTAAATGGCAGAGCCAGGATTTGAACCCAGTTTGACTATCTCCAAACCCAATGCTTGTTCTAGATTGTTCAATTCAAGAAATATTTATGAAGTGCCTGGGAGTTCTGCCTCTGCCTCCCCAAACAGACCCAGCATCACCTGCCTCCCCACACGGGGCAAGCATTGGGTGGGCACACAGGAGAATTTAAGATAGATTTGCCAGCTAATTAATCCCTCTTTCCAGATGCAAAGCCAGTGTGAGCAAAGGGTCCTCTCTGAATCTTCACATACATACAAATACAGACACAGACACATGCACACACCCTATGCACACAGGCACTGGGAGCTAACACTTGCAGGTGGAGGGGTGGGGCTTGCCTCTGGGCCTCTTGGGGGTGAGGCCTGAAGAAGAAGGAAGGGGGCACCTGCTGCCTCCCACACACTGTCACTGGTTGCTGGGAAACAAGTGACTGACCAGATCCCATCTCCAGAGCCATCTGACATCCAACCAGTTGCCTGTTTCCCAGATGGGGAAATCCTAAATCGTATGCAGCATGTGTGCTGTTCTCACAATTGCAGGCCCAGGCCTGTGTACGTGGGTGTGCAAATGAGCATATGTATCTGGCTCGATGGCTATGTGCACATCAAAGCCTAGGTGAGGACATCCTAGCCCATACTCAGGGTTCGCTGGAAGAGGTCATAGGAGGAAACCTGGGGCCAGCGGAGGGAAGGACCTGTCTCCATCTCTCTTCTACCTCCAAACACCCCATTCTGCAGAGGTCTAGCATGTAACTGCTGACACTGCCATTTGGATGGGCGTTCAAACATATGTTCCCTCTCTCTCTGGTTCAGTTTTGCCCATGTATGGCCAGCATTGGGCCCATAATACACACACACACACACACACACACACACACACACAGAGGCATGCATCTACAGGCACACACAGGGACATACAGACACAGACATACAGAAGCAAATACATATACAGACGCAGAGAGGCATACCATACACACAGACACACCCGCACAGATGGCCTTACCAACTTCCCTTCCAGTCAGTTTCACCCTCATGGGCCTCAAAGAAAACAAACAAACAACCAAAGACTCAAAATAAACAAAACCCTCAATCCCTAAAACCCAAGTCCCATTATGAAAATACAATTAAGAAAATGTCTTCAGTGAACAAGCCTTAACGGCATCCAAAATTCCAGTCTTTTACCCCAAATCCACAGTGAGGAAGGGAGCAAAGGTGAAGTCCCAAGCAGCCCACTCCCTGGCTCCTAGTCCCCTGACTTCTCTGCCCACTTCCACTGTGTGTCTAATGCTGGGTTCCCTGGGGGTCCCCAAAAAGCTAAGAACTCTCCTCCCCTCTCCTCTTCCCCTCCCCATCCCTACACCTGCCCTTCCTCTCTGCTGGCCTTTCTTCCCCCTCTACTATTTCCATCCTTGCCTCTCCTGTCTTCTTACCTCCTCTCTGTCCCTCCCCTCTCTTCTCCTTTCCTTTCTACTTTTCTTTTTCTCTTCTTCCCTCTCCTCTAATTCCCTTGGGTCAATATCACTGACTAGCTCAAGAGCCTGACCAATGAACCATGGAGTGTTTCTAAGGAAAATGGGCCCAAAGCCTTGGTGGTGAGGGACTGAGGAAGGGAAAGGAAACAAGCATTTATTAAGCACCCCACTATGTGTGAGGTACTGTGCTAATCGCTTTACAAATATCTCATTTGATAACCTGGATTGGGCTAAAGTAGAAGGAGGCAGAGGCGCTGGGGGGATGGGGTGGGAGGGAGGAGGCACAAGGCAAAGGCAGAAGAGGGGTAATGGAGAAGGACCAGAGGCAGTTACTGCCTCCATCCCATGAGACTCAAATCCCCAAGCTATTGGCAACCCCTTAAGAAGCCTCCTGTGTCTTCTAGGGTGAGAAGGCATTTGAAGAAACCATCACCTCCCTGGGCTTATGAGCCTCTCTGTCTGGTCTCGAAGCTCCCACTTTTCCTGCCCCCCCCCCCAGTGCTAACTCTGAAGCTCGGTCTCCCCCAAAGAAGCCTACCCCTTTCTCTACCCCTCAGCAGGCCTCCAGTCCTCAGCTGTCCTCCTCCACAAAGCTCTTCCACATCAAAAGCCCTTATGCTAATGTCACTGGAGGCCTGCCCTAAGGCTCTAATTACTTCTCCTCCCTTCTTTGCTGGGGGTGGTCAGAAACTGACCTATGGGGTTTGCCTGAAGTCTCAATCCATACTAGGCCTGCAATCCAGGCAGTGACCCTATGGCCGCTCTCCCTTTGCCAGTCTTTAGGGACCAGGAACTCCAGAGAGAGACCTACCTGCATTATATCTTGTTTATCTTATCCCTCTTACTCTGTGAGCCCCCTCTCCTAGCGCCAAGAGCCAATCCCAAGTCAGGCCAGCCAGAAGGGGTTTGGGCAGAGGCTTCTGGCACTGTCCCCTTGACTAGCTCCTGGATTCGGAGTCTGCCAGGGCCACCCATCTGTCACTTTCTCCTTTCCAACCCTCAAGATTAAATTCATTGCCTTTTAAGAGAGCCAATCATCTATGTTTTTCTCTTCTCCTCCCTGTCTCCCCCCACCCCAACCAGCTTTGCCTTTTCTTATTAGAAATTAAACTCCATGAAACTTAAGACTTCTAGGGAGAGACCAGGGTTGGAGGGAAGGAATGTCCAGTCCAGAAGGAATCGCTGGTGGTTGGCCACGTCACTTTCCCCTTCACCAGCTCTGACTCCTGTTCTTGTGATTTTTTCTAGGGAGCCAGTAGAAGTTTAGGAAGTTAACTCCCCCCTACTCCCACATCCACTCTGGCTCCCCAATTGATCCAGTCCCCAGCTCTCCTAGGCTACCCTGTCCAAGGCCATTGACCCCATCTAGCCCAGGCCCCAGTGGAGAGATGGAATAAAATAGCCATCCCATCACCCAAAGTCTGGTTCAAAGTGAGGGACAGGAAAGGCCAGCTTAAGCCCCTTGGGGCTGGAAAAAACTCAGCTCCAAAGGGCTCTGATGACAACACATAGGGCTGCAGGGGGGAAGGCATCCTTCCCACATACCGTGACAGATGATACAACATCAGCCATGTTGCTACCAAAACAGCGAGTGCCTTACAGGAAGCGCTGTGGAAGCCCAGGACATCCTGGCACAGCCTGATCCAGCCCAGCTGAGTCTGAAGGTGTCCAGGGCGGCTAAGTAGAGTTCTCCTTGCTCTCTGAGATGACACAGTCAACCCATTCAGGAGGCTCCCAGAGCCATCAGCCCTCTCTCGAAACCGCAATTAGATATTCTCCCCAACTCAAAGAGAATAAAACCAGAAAGGGCAAAGCCAGGATTCAGGGGCTGGGTGGGTAACGACTGGACAGGGCAGGAGCTGCCAAGCCTGGGAAGAGATGGCACAAACTACCCATCCCTCTGTCTGTGTGTCTGCCCTTAGACACAGGGCCCTGAAGTTTGTGTGATTTCACTGCCCAATGTGCTCACCCTGAGAATAAACTTCAGATCCTTCCCTTTACTGTATAGGTGTGAACACACATGCATGTGTACATGAGAGTACATACAACCACATCTATAGAACATGGGCATGTACACATGCATATACCAAGGCACACTCATATCACACCTCTTCAGGTACACATATTCAAACACACAATCCGCAGCTACACATACATGAACACATATGTATTGCCTCACATCCTCATGTAACATAGCACGGTATGATATCCAGACAGTGCAGCACAAGGCCCAACACCCATTTGTTTCAGGGTCCTTTGGTTCTGCTATCATACGTATAAAATACCCAGGAACTCTTACCCCACTGGGAGGGGGTATGGATACCAACATGGGGGAGGTAAGATGATAAGGAGATTTGCGGACCATCTGTCTGCCTGCCTTTGGGCTGGTGGCTGCCAGGGAAGCCTGGCCTTCTCCCTCACTCTCCCTCTCTGCCTTCGCTTTTCCTCTTGCCCCTGGATCAGTCAGGGCTTTTCCCAAAAGCTCATCACCCAAGCCTCAGCTCCCTCTCCGTGCTCCTGCCCCTCTGCCGTCAGACCCTGGAACCCAGCACACAGCCAACCAACTCTGGATCACGGAAAAAGCATGACAATGACAGTGAGCCCTGGGCACACTTCACACTGCCCTGGGCCACCCTCCCTCCCAGAGCCGGGTGCTTTGCTACAAGAGACTGGGCTAGGCTGGGGGGTAAGGGCTGGTGGGGTGGGGGGGTGCTGCAGAAAGGTGTCTGCTCCTTACCATAGAGGGTGGTCCGGGTGATCTGTCCCCCCATGGCAGGCAGGGTGTGGGCACTGCCACCTCGGGGCCTCTGTCACAGAGGGTTGGTGCTGGTAGGGACCTCCCTAGGGGCAGGCATGACCGGCAGCTGGCATCGCTCTCGCACACACGCAGACTCACAGCCTGCACAGCTTAGTGCCTGCTCACACACACACACACACACACACACACACACACACACACACACACAC